GCAAAGCCTGCCCGACACGAGACAAGCAACAGAGGTCGGAACCGGCAAACCAGAATCAGAACCACAAACACGTTGACACGTTCATCAAGATCAAGTAGGTCTGGTCAAAGATAAAACTGTTTGCTTCGGTTTTGCAAGCTTCTGGCGAAGGAGGGGAGCAAAAACGCCTTGCGGCTGTATCCCTCCCGGCCACACTCCGGGCTCTTCTTGCCTTGCCTTTCTCGAGCACGCCACAAAAAAAAATCATGGCACGCTGAGGACATACCCGACACTCTAGCTCCCTGGTAAAGTACAGCACAAGAGGAAATGCAATACACACCCTGCCCGGTCACGTTCCGAACTCGAAAACCCTTCGCTCCTAACCCGAGAAAAACCGCTTACGTCTCGAACCTCCTGAGGACATCTTTCACGTTCCAAAAACGATAAAACCAGATCACCTTGCCTAACCTGAAATCCTTTCACTTTCCGCAACCGGAACACATGACAGCATATCATCAACCCCCCCACCTACCTGTATCCGCTTCCGCTCCGCCCTGCCCTCCTCTCTCTTCTCGCGGGCGGCCTGGTCTTCCGTGTGGGACACGCACGCGCGAGCCATCTTGGAGACCGTCAGCCGCCTTCCTCTGTGGAAGTTGGAGAACTCAAGCCTTTCGTGGTGGTAGCGCAAGAAAAAAGTAAAAAAAAAAAAGCGTGATACATAGCAGCAAGAAAAAAGTTATTGTAACACGAGAAGAGAAGCGTGGTGTAGAAGCAGCGCATCGAACAGCAGTTACTCAGTCGTGCATGCCAAGAGGGAGCAGGGAGAAAGGGGGACCAGAGAGAGAGAGAGAGAGAGAGAGAGAGATGCGAGTTGGGGCACCACAATCTGATCGGCCTGCGCATACATCGAGTACAACTTGACGAAATACCCAGCGTCCCACACATAGTAGAAGAGCAGGGTGGTCAGTACATAGGAGGCAACCAATAGTGAGAGCAACAATACTGTTGTAGAGCCCCCTGATCCGAAGAACTCTTATAGATCACGTGTGACAGCAACAGCAACCATCGCCGCAAGGAGAGGAAACCGCAAAGGACGGGGGGGGGGGGGGGGGGGGGGG